CAAGAGTGAAACATCATTACAAAATGAGCATTATCTGAAGTGCATGGTTTTGTCGAAAAATAACGTCTCAAACGATAAACTTTTTTTGCTAAATGTCTAACATATGCGAATTAGAATGAAAATATTATTTCAGGAGAATCGTTTTTTGAAGATTCGCTCAGACGGGAAACTCATTTATGATAGAAGGTTTGTTCCTCATTGTATAAAAAGTCGAAGTGTACTTGTGCGCCGTTGTGGCTTAAATTTGGTGAATCAAATTGTCCATCGTGAGAATTCTTCTCCTTTGTGAGAGACACTGATGTCACACCGAAAGGCCCCTCGACAATAGAGTTTTCCGCTATGCTCTGATACAATTAGACGGGAATCGAGTCTCCCTCAACACTAGGAGAAGCAATAGATGTGTGCGGGGCTTTCTGCAAGAAAAACTGTGGAAAATTTCAGATTAACACTTCACTTAGCATGCTCCATGCATTTGTCGCGATATCCGATGGACTCACAGTTGTGCGAAATTGCCTTCGCATCATGTAAGTGATAGTCTTACAAAAACTACGAAAGGCAATATTCTTGTAGATGCATACACCACCGAAGACATAAAATACGAATGGGATGCGGAAGCGATTCGAATTCATGATGGAGCGAATGGAGCTCTACCTAATTTTGACATTGCTATGTTCACCAACGGGACTTGTCACTCCAAAACAAACACAGGTGATCATTTTAGAAGAATGCTGTATAGTAAGAAATCAGAAAAAAATTGGCAAAAAATTTGGAAAAAAATTGGAGTACCAAGGAAGAAAAGAAACTCTGGGAACCACTATGGATTTTAACACATGCCATGATCAGAGTCAGACAAATGAACTTATAGGAAGCATTGGCGACTGAAGGGGAAGGGAAGGGCGGGGGGTTGGGTTCAAATTCGAAAGTTCCAAATATTCGAATTAACCTTAAAAAGATGTTTTAGGGATCGTGGGTAAAGAGCATCCAAGAATTTTCAAACTTTTTAATTTCCAGCACCACAAAAAAATTTCCTTTTACATTCACGAAGAAAAATTTATCTGGCACCCATTGGTAGAAATCTTAGAAAATCTCAAAGACTATTCTCAAGCTGGGTCAGAGTCATCAAACTGTCACGCGTTTTCCTGACCAAGCACTAATCTCGCAGAAAAGTTAGAAGGTAATTAATTGTCTGTGCATTTTGTACTCGCTTTTTTCATTAGAAATGTACTTAACCCTACTCTACGGACTGCGAAAAATGCTTGCTATTTTAACAATTTTCAGGAGAATATTCGTGCTTACGTGTGGAACTGAAGCTGAACCGCGTATTTTCGTTCTTCCTTCTGCAACTGTATATTCCGTCGTCCATGTTGGTTGGTGTAGCTTGGGTATCTTACTGGATCGACTGGAAAAGTACTGCTGCTCGTGTGCCTTTGGCTATTGTGACGCTCCTCACAATGATCACAACCTCTCATGGTAAGTCCTACCTCTTCATATCTAGAGGTATGATTAACAAATGATTTCCAGCAATTAACTCGAATTTGCCGCCTGTTTCGTATGCAAAATCCATAGACATTTGGGTTGGTGCATGTGTAGGTAAGTCAACCAGTAGTATTTTCGCCTAGTCACTTGGTACAATTACCCGTTACAGTATTTATATTCTTCTCACTAATTGAATATGCTGTGGTAAACTACATGGGAATACTGGACGAGCACAGGTAGAAAACATAACAAATGATATCTTTTTGTTTTTAGAAAATTATGTCCCTTTATTTCCAGGCAAATGCGGAAAGCGGCTTGCAATCGCAGTAGGCTCTCAAATGTGATTGACAATCAGTACTATATGCAGATGACTGTAGACCAAATGACCTCGCCTACCTCGGTAGGATTTAGCCCACAAGAGAAAAAGGTGATTGCTGATTGAAAAAGGCTTGTAATGATGATTCGAGATAGAGATAGTGACAGGGCGCGAATATTGTGTTCAAGAATTTGTACCCAAATATCCAGAAACCTGATAGGCTGGCACATATTCTGCAACTAACTTTGTAACTTTTCAGTTTTTGATTGTGACGCCTTCATTTTTTT